GAAGACGGGACGGAGTTTGACAGCAGCTTAACCCGCGACCAGCCCTTCATCTTCTCCCTGGGCACCGGACAAGTCATCAAAGGCTGGGAACAAGGCTTGCTCGGGTAAAAGCCAGCTTCCGAGGAGCAGGGGTTCGAATGGGTTTGGGGCACCCACGGTGGTCGAGCAGAATCAAATCTTTTATTAATAAAAGGGAATTATTTGTAGCTCGGGGTTGACCTGAGGGGTCCTCGGGACTCTCTGAGCAGGGTGGTTTCCTTGCAGACGTTTCGCCACCCAAACTAGGTAATGTCATCAGTGCTAGAAGGGAGCGGGGTTGAGGAGGAGGAAGAGGAAGAAGGCGACGACTGTGGGCTCCTTGGTGCTCTCTGAGTTCAGTGGTTTCCTTGCAGACTTTTCATGACCCAGCTAGGCAGTGTCCTCAGCGCTAGAAGGGAGTGGGGTTAATGGAGAGAAGGAGGAGAACAAAAAGGAATGGATACTCCTTGAACTCGGTGGTTTTCTTGAAGACATTTTGTGACCCAACTAGGTAGTGTCATCAGTGTAAGAGAGGAGTGGGATTTGTGGAGAGGAGGAGGAGGAAGAGCAGGAGCACGGTAGGATCCTTGGTGCTCTCTGCATTTAGTGGTTTTCTTGCAGACGCCGCATGACCCAACTAAGTAACATCATCCGTGCTAGAAGGGATGTGGGAACAATATGGGTCTGTGTCGTTTCGCCCAGGTGATTTATCTTTAATGAGGTCATTTGTGGCCTTCAGGTTTTTGTTTTTTTTAATAGTTTATAGTTTGGACCGCCTGGGTTTGGAAGGGTCAGGATGGAAGGGCAGAGTTTAAAGGAGCTGGAGACTAAAATTCTAGTCCTCAAGGTTTGTAACGCCAACAACGCCTTTTTTTTGTCGTTTCTTTTGCCGTTCCAGGATGTGCGAAGGCGAGAAAAGAAAGTTAGTCATCCCTTCAGAGCTCGGTAAGGAATGAGAGCGAAACCAGTACAGGAAGGACACTGGGTGGGCACCGGGCTCCTAAAGTCGGGTGGCACCTATGCCCTGACATTGGTTGGTTGCCCCTTGGCATATTGTAACGTTTAACTTTTCCGGAACGTAGTGTTTTCCTTGTATCATTTGATATCCGGCTGATTTGGCTTCTATGGTCTTATCTCACAGGTTATGGAGATCGGGGAGCACCGCCCAAAATCCCAGGTATTTTATTTCTTTGTTTTATTTATTTATTTATTTGCCATCTCGCCTTCGTTATTTTTACAAATCAGGCAGCTTTTCCAACGCTTCTTCCTCCTCCTTCTCCCCTCCCCCAAAACAACCCTGTAAGGTGGGTTGGACTGAGAGTGACTAGCCCAAAGTCACCCAGCCAACTTTCATGCCTAAGGCGGGACTAGAACTCACTGTCTCCTGGTGATTGGCTTAAAGTCACCCAGCTAATTTCCATGCCTAAAGTGGGACTAGAACTCACTGTCTCCTGGTGATTGGCTTAAAGTCACCCAGCTAATTTCCATGCCTAAGGCGGGACTAGAAGTCACTGTCTCCTGGTGATTGGCTTAAAGTCACTCAGCAGGCTTTCATGCTGAGGCGGGACTAGAACTCCCAGTCTCCTGGTGATTGGCTTAAAGTCACCCAGCAGGCTTCTATGCCTAAGACAGGACTAGAACTCCCAGTCTCCTGGTGATTGACCCAAAGTCATCCAGCCATAGAATTGGACATCTTACTCTGTTAACCAAGTTCTGTAACATCCTTATCTTAATTTCTCCCATTGGATTTTTATCCTGTTTGGATTGACTTCGTTGACGCGGTGACAAACGTTTATTAGTTCATCAAAATAGAAAAATGCAGAAAGACAAAGGAAAATGGGAATAATCGGAACATAGGGGACGTGAAGAGGGAGAGGAAAATGTAGGATGAGAAGGGAAAGGAAAAGAAATGTATTGACTTCCGACTTTCTTTGGCTCAGTAGAATAAGCTAATAAGACACACCTCAACTTTTTACTTGTACATAATAACATGTACTAGCCCTTTCGATACCAACGAACTCATCCAATCATCAAAACCCGAAATCAAGGTTTCATGTTTTTTTTTTTTCCACCTCGAGCACAAAGTCCAGAAACGGTTTCCAAGTAGAAGCAAAACGAACCGTATCCTATCATCGACGCAGTCAATTTAGCCCTGTCTGCTAACTCCCATCAACTTTTGCAGCCATTCGTCCCTTGTGGGAATCTTAAAATCTCCTTCCATTTTTATGGATGGGCTTCGTTCATACCCAGCCGCGAGGATTTTTTTTTTTTTAAAAAAAGGACCACGTCCAGGGACCCTTTTCACCCACCCCACCCTTCAATCTCTTGCCTTCTTCTTTCTCTCTTTTTTCCCACCCCTGTTCCCAGGCGGCGCCACGCTCATCTTTGAAGTGGAACTGCTGAAGATTGAGCGCCGCCAAGAACTATAGCTGCCAGGAAGAGGGGTTCGTGGGGAGGGGGTGCGCACGGACGGACAGGCCGGAGAAGGAACGGGAAACGGGTTTGTCGCTCCTAGAGGGGCCAAATAAATAAATAAAAAAAGAGCACAGACCAGATTTTGTGCCATGAAAGCGAAGCCCGGGGGGAGGAAGACTTCGTCTGGCGGACCAACCAAGGACGGGATGAGGAGACCTTTAATGGTGGTCAAAGGCCCAGCTTGGGATAAACTGTCCAGGAGGCAGCATTGCCTTGTGTTCAAAAGGTTGCCCAGCATCCTGGGGCTTTTAACCACAAGGAGAAGGGGAAAAGTGGGGCAGCAGGAGGAGGGAGGGGGTAGAGAGGCCTGAATGGCTTTGAGTCAAGGTTCTGAATTGAGCAGGAATGGCTGCCTGTTCTAACAGTCGGGACAACCGGTATTTTTCAACCTTAGCAAATTTGAGGTTGGCTGGGCTTCAACTCCCAGAATCCCCCAACCAGCATGCGTTAAAATGGGTGGGCTTCACCTCCCAGAATTCCTTAGCCATCATGTTTTAATACCGCTGGAGCTCAACTCCCAGAATCCTCCAGCCAGCATGATTTAACACTGGTGGAACTTCATCTCCCAGAATCCCCCAGCCGAGATGGGTGGACTTTGATTCCCAGAATTCTGGCTGGGGAATTCTGGGAGTTGGAAGTCCACCCCTCTTGAAGTTGGCTAAAGTTGAGAAAGCCTGGCCAAGACTCGCTCTGGCCCTCTAGTTGGCTGTGAATAAAACTTACACATACAACACACTCACAATCACACCATAAACCCATAGTGTGGCAGCTGCGGAATTCTGGGAGTTGAAGTCCTTCCATTTTCAAGCTGCCAAGACAGAGAAACAATGCTTTAGACCCGGGGTCAGCAACCTTAAACACTCAAAGATCCACAAAGGTCCTAAGAGCCGACCGGAAGTCCGGTTCCCCTACCATAGAGTCTCCTCCTCGCGCGGCATCCTTTTTCCTCTACCTGTCCTAACCGAAATCCCTATCCATTGTGGAGCCGACCGGAAGTCCGGTTCCCCTACCATAGAGTCTCCTCCTAGCGCAGCGTCCTTTTTCCTCTACCTGTCCTAACCGAAAGCCCTATCCATTGTGGAGCTGACCGGAAGTCCAGTTCCCCTACCATAGAGTCTTCTCCTAGTGCGGCGTCCTTTTTCCTCTACCTGTCCTAACCGAAAGCCCTATCCATTGTGGAGCCGACAGATGACAAGGAGCCGCAGCAGGGGGATGAAAGAGCCACATGTGGCTCCAGAGCCGCGGGCTGCCTACCCCTGCTTTAGACCTTATGTATCCTACCTAGATGGAGAAGAGACCTCTTAGAATTCTCTGCCCCAATGGAGTTCTGGGACTCTGTCCAGAGAATACCCCAGCGATCTCCTAACAACCACCTGCTGAGCATCTTCAAAAAGAAACGAAAAGCAAAAAAGACCATTTCTCCCGTCCCAACTTCTTAGGAAAAAAAACAAAAAAAAAACTAGGTTTGTTTAAGGACAGCAGGGACTCCGCAAATAAAAGGAACAGAAATTTCCTGCCGCAAGGAACTGGTGAGAAAGCGAGATAACAAGATGAGTTTGCGCTGCCGAGCAACGAGCGGGCGGGCCTGGCTGAAGTGTGAGTGCGAAAAGGCTGGGGTTTTTTTTTTGCCAGCATTGTCTAGCTGTGCAGCAAACAGTGCCGTCCCAGACCTTCGTGGTTAACAAGCCCGTATGTTTTTGCATTTGGGAGGGCGGTGGTGGGTCCTTCCAGAAGGTTCCGTACGAGTTGGACTGCGCCATGGCGGTTTTCTCCACCCTACAATGTAAATGGGAACGGTTCGCATCGTGGCTTACACTTACGCCTTTTTTTTTTTTAAATAAAAACGTGGGGAAGAATGATATATGGGCCTGATTGTGGCTTAAGCCAGAGGTCTCCAAACTTAGCCAACTTTAAGACTTGTGGACTTCAGCTCCTAGAATTCTCCAGCCAGAATTGAAGTCCACAAGTCTTAAAATATGCCAAGTTTGGAGACCTGCTCTTGAAAAGCTTTTTGCAATTTCCACAGGATTTGATTCGCATTAAAAAAAATACATCCTGGCTTTGAACTTTGCAGTGTTTCTAAGCAAACTATTATCGTAGGGATGGGGAAAATGCAAAAAAAAAAAAAAAAAACATGTCAAAGTGGTGGATATATGTGTACAGTACATACCGCAGGAAATAACTTTACAGCGTCTTGAAGCAGTTAGGCCTCTGTTTCCCAACCGTAGCCATTTTAAAATGCATGGACTTCAATTCCCAGAATTCTCTCATCAATGGCTGGGGGATTCTGGGAGTTGAAGTTCACCCAGTTGGGAATTGGTGAATTGCACAATGGCCGAATTTTGGGAGTTGAAGTCCATAAGTCTTAAGCCAATGGTTTTGTGTGTGTGAGGGAGAGAGAGGGAGGGAGGGAGGGAGAGAGAGAGAGAGAAAGAGAGAGAAAGAGAGAGAGAGAGATCCTAGTTGCTCTCATCTGCACTCTTTCCAGAGTCCCAGCATCTTCTCTCTAATGTGATGACCCAACCTGGATGCAATATTCCAGGGGTGGCCTTTCCCCCAAAATCGGCTTGCTTCCTCCCAAGCTGGCCTTCTTGAGAGGTGCCAGACTTTGCATAAAGGAACCTCCAAGCCACGTGGACAAGCAGAGGAGAGGAGAGGAGAGGGAGGGAGGGAAGGAGAGAGAGAGAGAGAGATTAAGCTTTTTGCTCAGCGGTGACTTAAGGCCGGAAACACGAGGATGCTGGGATTAGCTCCAGGCCTTGCCAAGCATTCCTTCCTTGATGAGTTACCACCAACGGGGTGGGGGAGGCTGCTCTGACTACAGCTCCATTGGGACAATTGAGGCAAAGGCGTTGCTCTCGCTAGGGGCCTGGCCGCTGCCTTCTGTCTCTGTTTTTTCACCTCTAATTAGAAGCGGCTTGAAGCCTTTTTTTTTTTTTTTTTAGGGGGGGGAGAAGGGGGTAAACCCAGGTTCCCTTTTCCCCCCCCCCCCACACCTCCCTAGCTGAGATTTTAAAGAAGAGATTGGACGGTCATTTTTGTCCTGAATGGTGCCAGGGTCTCCTGCTTAGGCAGCGGGTTGGACTAGACGACCTCCAAGGTCCCTTCCAACTCTTAATTCTGCAAGGCAAAACAGCCAGCCAGGCTTGATTCCCCAGCCAGAATAGCTTAAAGACGAGAGAGACGTGTGGCCAAACCACGATTCCTGGAATAGCTAGCTAGCTATCCATCCTGGGGTTCCCCCCACCCCACCCAATAATTTCCAGCGAGCAAAAATATATTTTGCTGCAGGAAAGCTGCACCGTCCTGAACTTCTATGTGTTTCTACGGCAGGATTCTGCCAGATATGTCCTTAACCAAACACCCGCCGGCCTTTTGAGTCTTCTCATCGTGTCTGGGAAAGACAGGCCACAAGCGACAATTGTGCAAAACCAGTGTTGTCCAACCGTAGTAACTTTTTTTTTTTTTTAAAGACTTGTGGACTTCTAACTTGAAACGGGTCACTAAACAAGAGGATTAAAAATGCTTTTTTTTTTTTTTTAATTAAAAAAGAAATTTAACATGTTTCGGTGAAGTTGAGGGAGTGTAATTCACCCCCCCAAAAAAACTTTCTCATCCACACCCTTCTCTCCCTGCCCCCATTGCAAAAACCAGGCTGCCTTCTTCTCAAAGCGTCTTTATTAAATTTATATAAAAACACAATAATTAAAAACAAAAACAAAACGGCCCTCCCCCCCAAATCCAGAGACTTTCCCCTCCCTGCCCAGTCCGAATCTCATTTTAAGATCCTACTCTCTTTCTCCCCTCCCTCCTCTTTGAGAACAAATGCCCCCCCCCCACCCTTTGCACACACAAACACACTGGCACGGAGCCAGGACATATTTTTTTTGGGGGGGGGGAACAGGGACGGGGGGGAGGCAGCTGCAGAGAGATATTGCTAAAAGGCGATCGAATTATTCTGATTATCAGAGCATCCCCCCCCCCAAAATCTTCCTCTTTTTGTGATGGTTCCGGAGGGGAGGGGAAACCAACCGATTCCCCCCCCCC